CTCCTCATTAAATTTCACGTTGTTGGACAGGGCCCCCTGTTCAGGTTTTGTCAAGATCCTTTGGGATCCTGAGCTCGTCTTCTGGGGCGTGGGCTGTTCGTGCCAGCTTGGTGTCATCTGCAAATCTGATGCTTTTCCAACCCACCTGCTGCATTTCTGCCTCGCGGGCCTCCACCTGGCGTACTTCTGCCTGGTGCTGGAGAGCCTGTTCTTCACGGAGTGACTCCTTCTCCAGCACTTCCTTTTGGAGGGAGCTGATCTGCCAAGAGAAGAACGAAGGCACAGAGATGACAAGGGGAGCCTCTCGCGCGTGGGAGCAGAGGCGAACACTGGGGCCTCCAAGCGACGCTCCGAAGGAATGGAGCTAAAATAATCTTCTTCCATGTGCAACTGGGAGGTTGTGAAAATGCTCTTGGTATCAAATGTACCAGACACCCAGAGTGTTAACGCTGCTAACATCGGATGTTCTTGCTTTGACAATGTATGAAGATGCACCCAATTTCCCCTTAACTTGTGTGTTACTTTTAGAGCTAGAATTAGATGATACTGGGGGGAAGGAGGAAGAATGTGTATGGGCATTAGTTAGACATAACAACATCATAGTAGACTGTTTTTAAAGGTTGGTTGAAATAAGAGATGATAAGAAATGGCGGGTAGAAGAACTGGAGGGAAGGTCTGCATTTCAAACTAATTGGAGAAGGTGATTTGTGACTGTTAATTAGAGGAGGGAATTGTGCTTTGATACTGTGTGTTTAGCGGAGGAGAATTCAGATTTCGGCTTCGACCATGTACGTGCCGATGCCATGCAACTTGAATATTCTTGAAGGTAAACAATGCCTCAAAGTTCTTTGAAGAGTTTCATCTGTCGGAACCATGACATGGAGGTGAAATCCTAGGGGAGACTCTCCCACGCAGGGTGCCAGTCCCTGTGCGCCCCTTGAGACGCTGCTGCTCTGATGTATTGTTTTATTTGTATCTCACCTCTATTGTTTCTACAAATAACTCAAAGGGGTGAACATGTCCCACATGCCTTCCCCCTGTAGGTGTATGATATATACATATACATATACAAAGGCAGCCAGCTAGTTTTCACGGCTCAGGCAGGACTAGAACTCACCATCTCCTGGTGATTGGCCCAAAGCCGCCCTGCCAGCTCTCATGTCTAGAGTAAAACTACAACTCACCGTCTCCTGGTGATTGGCCAAAAGCCGCCCTGCCAGCTCTCATGTCTAAAGTAAGACTACAACTCACCTTCTCCTGGTGATTGGCCAAAAGTTACCCAGCCAGCTTTCATTGCTAAGGCAGGACTAGAACTCACCGTCTCCTGGGGATTTGCCCAAAATCACCCAGATAGCTTTCATGCCTAAGGCAGGACTAGAACTCGCCGTCTCCTGCTTTCCAGCCAGGTGCCTTAACCACTAGCCCAAGCTGGCACCATGCTTTAGCAGCCAACTTTGAACCCCAATTTCCATCTGTGTGGGGAAAATGCCGAAAATGCCTTTCTGGGCGAGGGGTAGCAATTTCACAAGAGAAGAGACGCACCTAGAAACCTATACTTTCCAGCCGTTGCTCTTAGGCTCCCTCGCCAACATTAGCCTGCGAAGATCCCGAGAGGTGAGGAGCCCCCAAAGAAGCCCAGGTGGGCAGGGCTGGTTCCCTACCTGGGCCTGGGCGTCCCCGAGTCTTCCCGCTGCTTCCTCCAGCTGCCCTTGGAGGCCCCTCACCCTTTCTTCCTGCTCCTCCAGTTGCCCCCTCAGCGCGCCCGTCTCGTCCGCCGGCCCGTCGCTCTTGCTGCGCTCACCCTGATGGTGCAGAAGAGAGGAGGGGCATTTTTAGGGGAAGATACAAGAGGTCCTCGACTTACGACCGTTCGTTTAGTGACTGTTCAAAGTTACAACAGCACTGGGAAAAAGTGTCTTACGGCCATTTTTGCAGCATCCCTGTGGGTCACGCGATCAAAATTCGGACACTTGACAAGTGGTTCATATTTATGACGGTGGCAGTGTCCCACATGAGTGACTGGCTCGTATTTATGGCAGTGTCCCACGTGGGTGACTGGTGTGTATTTATGACGGTGGCAGTGTCCCACGTGGGTGACCGGCTTGTATTTATGACGGTGGCAATGTCCCACGTGGGTGACTGGTTCATATTTATGACGGTGGTAGCGTCCCACGTGGGTGACTGGTTCATATTTATGACGGTGGTAGCGTCCCACGTGGGTGACTGGTTCATATTTATGACGGTGGCAGTGTCCTGGGGTCGTGGGATCCTCTTTTTTTGCAACCTCCCTACATGCAAAATCAATGGGGGAAGCAGGCCGAGGGTTTCTGGATGGGGAGGGGCCACGTGGCCGAGCGGGACCCTCTCACCGGAGCCCAGAAGCCAAGAAAGACACTAGCAGGGACAGCTGATCCGCAGAAAAGTCTCTCCTTTGTCCCACGTGGGACATTTTGGCCGCCCGGCTTGGAGATGGTGACACGCTCCTTGGGCAGGGGGCTCACCTGGACAGGGGGCGGGGGGGTCCCTTCCGGCTGCCCCTCGGCACGCACTGCCCCTCCCTGGGCCGTCAGCTCCTCGATGCGCTTGTTCAGGTTGCCCACCTTGACTTTGGCCTGCAGCTTCAGCTTCAGCAGTTTAGCTTCCGCCGCCTGCCTCTCTTCCTGTAGGTAGGAGAACCACACAGCGTCACACAGGGCGAGAGCTACAGGGTGTGTGGGTGTGTGTGTAGGGGGGGGTGCGAGGGAGGGGCAGGAGGATGTCTGGAGACCCTGAGTGAGCGCTGTCCTCTGCATCAGAGGGTGGAAAGACTTCTTCCCCAGAAGGAAAAAAGCGCATTGCCTGGGCATGTTTGGGGGTGCTTCATGCAGGGTCCTCTCTAGTCTGATTGATTGAGTGATTTCTACAAATAATTGAAGGTGAGAATATATCCAGCACACCTTCCTCCTATTTCATGCCTCAGGCACGAAGGCCAGCTGGGTGACTTTGGGCCAATCACCAGGAGACGGTGGGTTCTAGTCCCGCCATAGGCGTGAAAGCCAACTGAGTGACTTTGGGCCAATCACCAGGAGGCTGTGAGTTCTAGTCCCACCTCAGCGCACACAAACACTCACCCATGGAAGCTGCTACCCAGGGGAAAGAGGGCACGAGCTTTTCACCCACCTGAAGGGTGGCATCCTTCTGCTGGAGCTGGGCATCCTTCTCCCGCACCAGGGTCTTCAGCTGCACCACCAGCGTCTCCATTTGGGCCAGCCGTTCCAGCACGTCTTCTGGGGTCTCCTCCCCATTCTGCTGGCTGGGTTCAAATTCCACTCCCTACAAAAAGAAACAGGAAGCAAAGCTCCGGCTGCTTTATTTATTAAACTTATATAGGTTGCCTATCTCACTGATAAGGCGACGCAGGCAGCTCCAGTTGACTCGAGATCGTTTTATCTTTAGTTAATTCAAATAGTTTATACAGCCATTCATTTTAAAGTGGCTGCTTTGAACCCAGAATAACAGAGCTGGAGCATCCACACCTTCGGGAGGCAAGCTGTTCCACTGGTTAATTGTTCTTCCTGTCAGCACATTTCTCCTTATTTCTAGATTGGTTCTTTCCTGGATTAGTTTCCATCCATCGTTTATCTTGTCTTCAGGTACTTTGGAGGTGGACCTCCCCTCTTCTTTGTGACAGCCCCTCAAATATTGGAACACTGCTATCCTGTCACCCCTAGTCCCTTCTTTTCACTAGATATAACCAGTTCCTGCAGCTGTTCTTAGCCTCCAGCCCCCTAATCATCTTTGTTGCTCTTCTCTGCACTCTTTCCAGAGTCTCAGCATCTTTTTTTATATTGTGGTGACCAAAATTGGATGCAGCATTCCAAGTGTGGCCTCACCAAAGCCTTGTAAAGTGGTATTAACACTTCACATGATCTTGATTCTATCCCTCTGTGAATGCAGCCTAGGATTGCGTTGGCTTTTTTGGCAGCTGCAGCACATGGCTGGCTCATATTTAAGTGATTGTCCACTAGGACTCCGAGGTCCCTCTCACAGTTGCTACTATTGAGCAAGGTGCCACCTATGCTGTACTTGTGCATTTGGTTTTTCTTGCCTAAATGTAGAACCTTGCTTTTTTCACCGTTGAATTTCATTTTGTTAGATAGTGCCCAGTGTTCGAGTCTGTCCAGATCCTCCTGTATCCTAAGCCTGTCTTCTGGAGTGTTGGCTATTCCTGCCAGTTTGGTGTCGTCTGCAACTTTGATGAGTTCCCCATCTATCCCCTCATCCAAGTCATTTATGAAGTTATTGAAGCGGACTGAGCCTAAGAGGGAGCTTTGAGGGACGCCTACGCTGCTGTGGCAGGGTAGAAAGCTTAACAACTATCAGTTGCAAAACAACACATGCATTGTGTTTGCCTTTTCTTGTAAATGGGCTAGAGTCACTTTGTTCAAGTTAGGCCAGCCGGATAAGTTCTTTAAACAAATTTGCAGAGCTAACCAAAGGCAGGGGTAAGCAAACAGCAGGCGTTGTTTGCGCAGAACTGGGAGGGAATTTAAAGGCATTATTTGTCATTTTCAGTCTTCTCCACCAGGAAGTGCAGTAAGCAAGGATAGCCCGGCGTCTGAGCAGAGGTAGAAGAAGCTACCTCAATTTACAGCCATTCATATTCAGGGACCGTCCAAAGCAGGGGTCTTCAAACTTGTCCCTTTGATGACTTGTGGACTTCAACTCCCAGAATTCCTCAGCCAGGCACGCGTGCCTGGCTGAGGAATTCTGGGAGTTGAAGTCCACAAGTCATCAAAGGGACAAGTTTGAAGACCCCTGGTCCAAAGTTACAGCACCAACGTCCCTTTCGGCCAGCCCTCACACTTACAACCCTCCCAGCATCCACACTGTCAGGGGATCAAAATTTGTCCACTTGGCAACCGGTGTGTATTTACCACAATTGCAGGATCCTAGAATCCTGTGGTCGCCATCCGAGACCTTCCGACAAGCCAAGTCAACGAGGGAAGGCGGATTTGTTTGATTTGCTCAACCACACTGATTTACTAAACAGGCGCAAGGATTCATTGAAGGACGATGGCAAAAAGGTCATAAAATCGGCTGCGACTCACTTTTAATTAAAAATCTCGTTTAGCAAACGGAAATTCTGGCCCCAGATAAGATCATGATCTCAGGACCCAAAGACGCTTTTTAGGCAACTGGACATCCTTGGGGTTTGTTTTTTCTTTTAAAAGATTTTGCTTCTCACCCAAGAAGCTTCTTCAACTTCTCCTTCGTTCTGAAGAACTAAAGAAGCTCCTTGGATGAGAAGCGAAAAGTTTTCAAAGAAAAAAAAAACAAAAACAAGAATGTCCAATTGCCTTTTGGAAAAAATACACCTTTGGGTCAATCATGACCTGGATGATTGAGAATCTCGTAATGTGAGGACTAGCTGTATCCTCTCTGGGACAGCATGCCTGAAGCGTGACCCGGTCAATGTTGCAGCATCCAGTTGACTCGAGAAGAATTAAGAATGCTGGCTTGGAATAAGAGGAGGCCTGTAATTGTACGTTGACCGGCATCAAAGCAAGGAGAGATGCAGCCTAGAATTAAGGAGAAATTTCTTGACAGTGGGAACAATTAATCAGTGGGATGGCTTGCCTCCAGAAGGCTGCCACAAAAAAGAGGGGGGGGGTGTGTCAAACTATTCTCCAAAGCACCAGAAGGCAAGAAACAATGGATGGAAATTAATCAAGGAGAGAAGCAACCTGGAATTAAGGAGAAACCTCCTAACAGTGAGGACTAGTAACCAGTGGAACAGCTTCCCTCTAAGTTGTGGGTGCTTCAACGCTGGAGGTTTTTAAAAAGAGACTGGACAACCATTTGTCCGTAATATGGTAGGACCTCCTGCTTGTTTAAGGGGTTGGACTAGAAGATCTCCAAGGTCCTTTCCAGCTCTATTCTGATGGAAGTTGTGGGTGCTCCATCCCTTTAAGAAGAGATTGGATTAGACAACTTTCTCTGGCCTATCCTTCAAAACTGGTCTGGGAGAGAACAAGTGACTTACCGAAGGCGACGGTGCCGTCGCGGCATCCTCTCCATCCCCAGAGAGCTCATGGAGGACAGTGTTGGCCAGCCCCGACAGACGGCTGAGCATCTTCACCCTCCAGGCAACCAGCGGCACAGAGGGAGAACAAGGAGGTCAGCTGGAGCATAAAAGGAGCAGGGAAGGAAGGAGTCACGGCTTGCCCGCAGCCTGGATCCCCAACAGGCTGCCAAGCTGCATGTCAGTTTCTTCCTTGGAGGACACTCGGCTTAGTTTTTCTGCAACAAAAAAATCACAATTTAACCCAAAGAAAAAGCAGACATGCAGCACAGCAAACCCCAGCTCTGTGTTTACGTCCCAGAGTGAAAGATGTCCTGGGCACATCCCTAGAAAACAAGGAGGGCCTGCAGCCCAATGCTTATTTGGATAATTGATTCCATTTCAGTTTCCACAGCCACCCAACTCAACCCAGTGACTCTGGGCGAAATATGCCCATGAAAAAAAAACGAGGTCCCGGAAACATTCTGGCAAATTAGTGTTTAGCCAGCAGTTTGGGAAGCCGTGCAACGAATGCACAAACCCTAGGCAGTCATTTTGTGAGAGCACCCACAAGGCACTCCCCGAATCCCATTCGTTCATTGCCAAGGCTAAATAAACAGGAAGCGACGTTCTAACGTGGTTAAACCACCCAAATCCTGGAGAGGCCCAGTACATCCTGGTGGAAAGAGAGGAAGTCCCAAGCAACGCGCGAGTCCTGACCAGACCTCAGCCATTTAATCTCCTGGCAGACTCGGCTTTTAGGTCGCTGCTTGAGCCAGGATTCAAGCCAGCTTCTTGCACTGTCACCTCATTCAAATGATGGATAAATGGCCTATGAATATTATACACTGTTTAGCCACCTATTGATGACTCATCGTACCTTCCTTTTCTATCAGTTTATAGAAAGCATTCTGGCCCTCAAGGTAATGACCTAGTCCCAGTTTGAGTATGACCCTAAAGCAGGGGTTCTCAACCTTGGCAACTTTAAGACTTGTGGACTTCAACTCCCAGAATTCCTCAGCCAGCTTTGCTGGCTGAGGAATTCTGGGAATTGAAGTCCACAAGTCTTAAAGTTGCCAAGGTTGAGAACCCCTGCTCTAAAGGAACAGATGTGCAAGAGGGCACATCAGCATATATACATACTGGTATATACAAACATACTGGTATATACAAACTGGTATATACAAACATATATACATGCACACATACATGCATATATACATATACACACAAACATGTATGCATGCATGTATGAGGAGTCCCTGGTGTGGGTTTGCAGGGAGGAAGAGGGGGAGGGGAGGAGTGGGAAGATGAAGGGAGGGGGAGGAAGAGGAGAAAGAGGAGGAGGAGGAGGAGGAAAAGTGAGAGAGGAGGAAACGGGGAGAAGAGGAAGAGGGGAGAAGAGGAGGGAAAGGGGGAGGAAAAGGGGGAGAAGAGGGGGGAGGAGGAAAGGGGGGAGGGGAGGAAGAGGGGGAGAGGAGGAAGAGGGGATGAGGAAGAGGAGGAGGAAGAGGAGGACTGTGGGGTCCCTGTCTCTCTCTGAGCTTCTTTGTTTTCTTGCAGACCTTTCGCCACCAAACTAGCCACCCTCATCCGGGCGAGGAGGCGGCGGTGGGCGTCCTCTAAGCTGCTGCCTGGGCAGAAGGAGGTGCATCTCAAGGGGTCCCCCCGAGATCCGCAAGCCGGTCCCCGCCTGGGCTCTTCCCCCTCCCCCTCCCCCCGCCTGACCTTTTAGGGCTCCTCATCCGCCTGCAGGCAGGCAGGCAGGCAGGGAGGAAGAGGCTGCACCGGTTGGGTCTCGGCCTGCAGCGAGCTCTCCCGCAGCCCCCAGGCGGGGGACGAGGGGGGGACGGGGGGAGAGGCGGGGCGGCTGCGCCCTGCAGGCCGGAGTCCAACCGGTGCAGCCCCGCCTGCAGAGCCGCGGCCTGAGGGGCCTTTGGGGAAAGCTCGAGGCGACCCCGGGAGAGACTCACCGCTCCGCCGCGCCGCCGGGTTCCGGCCACATCAGCACCGGAAGTCTCCCGGTCACTGCCCTCTCGGCATTTCCGGCTGCCTCACCTCCAGTCCCCGCCTCTTTCTCTCCGCCCTGGACCAATAGAAATGGGCAGTGGTCGAGACAGACAGATTCCCCGTCCAATCGCACGGCGCGGCTTGGGCTGTTGCTGTGGTTTCGCTGAGAAGGGCGTCTCACGTCACGCCTCTTTTCCCACCAATCAGCAAACGCGGCTGGGGCGCCTCCCTGCCCGCACCAAAACAAATCAAAGGAAGCCAATGGGGAAAAGGGCGCTCGTGCCGCTGGGCACCAATCGGCGGCCGCGCCGCCTGGAAGGATGGACCAATCGGAGTTGGCGGCGGTGGGGGCAGAAAAAAGTTAAACCGTCCCCGTCCAGTAGAGGGCGAGGGCACGATTTGCATATGGTAATTTATGCTAATCTATCGAGGTCTCGCCTCAGGCATCCGATGAATGAAATGCGATTAAGGAAGCGGCGGGAGGCAGAAAAGCTCTTTAAAAATCCTTTAAAAATGTATTTAATAATTAATTCAACCTAATTTGCAACGGAGTTACCTTGTAGAGTGAGATGGGAGGCATATAAATTTAATAAATGAAAATATTTGTATAAGAAGGAAGGAAGGAAGGAAGGAAGGAAGGAAGGAAGGAAGGAAGGAAGGAAGGAAGGAAAAGAAAGAAAAATAAGGAAAGAGAGAGAGAAAGAAAGAAAGAAAAAGAAAGAAAGACATAGGGAGGGAAGGAGGAAGGAAGAGAGATAAAGGAAGCAAAAGAAAGAAACAAGGAAAGAGAGAAAGAAAAAGAAAAAAAGAAGGGGAGAGACATAGGAAGGAAGGAAGGAAGGGAGAAAGATAAGGAAGAAAAAGAAAGAAAAATAAGGAAAGAAAGAAAGAAAGAGAGGTAGGAAGGAAGGGGAAGAAGAGAAGGAAGGAAGGAAAAGAAGAAAAAAGGAAGGAAAGAAGAAGAAAGAGAAATAAAGAGAGAATCATATGTGCATGAACTATTAGACTCACACAAAAAATATACACAAAGATGCATCACTCAACCCTCTATCAACAAACCAAGCATTCCCTCTCCCAGGGCCAACCTTTCGCATGGCAATGCCAGACAGATGCCTGGGACTACAACTCCCACATGCCCGGCCAAGATGGGAGTCGTAGTCCATCATCGCTTTCCCACCCCCAGGTGTGCACAGGAGGGGGAAGGATGCAGCCAATGACCTCAAACAGCTGGACTCAGGTGTGGGGGGGGGCTTTCCTCTGAAACCCAGACCCTTCTCAGTCTTCGGATGGGGATCCCCCCTCAAGCTGTAGTTCTCCACTTTAAGCTGGGTGGACTTCAACTCCCAGAATTCCCCCCGTCTTGCCTTTCTGCCTGGGGAATTCTGGGAGATGAAGTCTCCCCAGAATGGAGATGTCTCTCCACTTCAAGCTTCCTTTTCTCTAATTTTTAATATTAAGCGTTTTAAATAAAGGTGTGGTTTTTTTCCCAACACTTAACATTAAAAATCAGGGAAAAGGAAGCTTGGAATGGAGAGAAATTCAACCGGGGGGGGCTGGGGAGGGTCACAACAGCCTCAGAGAAGTAAAAAAACACAGGGTCCCCTGAGGCAGGGAGACCCGTTCCGGCCGGCCTTCCTGGCCAGAACTAATCCAGGCCCAAATTCTCTTTAACTTTGTCCCTTTGCCCAGACAGTTGGACTTTAGCCATAGCTGAGTCCTGAAAACGGGAAACGCAGGTTACTGGTTAAAAAGCTGCAGAGTGTTTCATTCCGGGTGTTTTTGCCTCTGCAGCAAAATCGAGCTGGGAGGCGGCCATGCTCATAATATGCTAAACCCATATTAAATAAACAAACAGATTGAAGCTCAAGAGAGGTTAAAATTCATCTAATATGCCAGGTTTTTAATTGACTTGGTTAAATGAGTGTGGAATTGAACTCACAGAATTCCCCAGCAAGGAGGAGGAGGAGGAAAAGGATGAAGGGAGGGAAGGAGGAAGAGGAGGAGGAGGAGGAGGAGGAGAGAAGAAGAAGAAGAAGAAGAAGAAGAAGAAGAAGAAGAAGAAGAAGAAGAAGAAGAAGAAGAAGAAGAAGAAGAAGAAGAAGAAGAAGAAGAAGAAGAAGAAGAAGAAGAAGAAGAAGAAGAAGAAGAAGAAGAAGAAGAAGATGATGATGATGTGAACATCCAGCTTCTGTTGAACATGAACACAAGAAGGGTAGGAAACTCTGAAAAATGATATTATAAAAGCCTACATTAGCATAGTACCACTGAAAAAGAAAGGCAGGAAATCCAAAAAAACCCAGCATGACTTCATAAAGAACTCTGAAAGACAAAAATGACACATATAAAAAGTGGAAAGAGGAACACATAAAGTAGAATACAAGCAAATAGCCCGAATCTGCAAAGATGAAGCCAGGAAACCTGAGGATTTTCTAGATCAGTGTTTTTCAGATTTGACAACTTCAAGACGTGTGGACCTCAACAACCAACATTCCCCATTGGAGCAATACCTGGGAGTTGAAATCCACACATCTCAAAGTTACCAAGTTTGAAAAACTGACTTAGATGGTCTAACATTGGATCTTACAATCTGGAGATGCTTGGTCCTGCTAAGTTCAACCTCTCCTTAATACTAAAGTGGGAATTAAAATTAAAGGTCTGCTTCCACAGCCAGCAGAGCTGTTGTCTTTCGCATCATCGCATCCTTCACTTCTACTGGCTGGAGGCCTGTTGGAGAAAATCCAGATGTTTGTCAAAATATTGTGGCATTTTTTTCATCTCCAAAGGTCCTGGCTGGCACAGGAGAAGGCAAGGAAATACAAGTCCTTCTTTCAGAAAGTACATTGCAGAGTCAGGAAGCAAAGCGAGGAAAAACTTCTAATCCAGAAAAGTCAAGTCTGGAACAAATTGCATCCAGTTTCATAATCTGAACTCTGAACTTTCTGCGTTGGAACAGCCACCTTCTGCGTTTGACAAAAACATCAACAGGAAGCACAACAAAGTGAGTTTTATTTAGTGTCCTCAACAACAAGATAGATACGTTGTGACACCATTGTTCAGTAGACGGCTACCATTTTAGGACTCTAGAGGTCATAACAGATGCTGCTGATGGTGGGTCCTTTCTAGCAGAAACCCCAAAGCCCATATCAGCGCACAAGCCAAGGCCTATAGTGTTTGTGATCAGCCTTCCCTATCAAGATCTAAATGGGAACAGGTGTTACAGGGCTTTTCCCCTGAAGGCAGGACAAGAAGCAAAGGATGGAAACTAATAAACTAAACTTATTCTGACAGCATCTTCCAATATTTGAGGGGCTGCCCCAAAGAAGAGGGAGTCAAGCTATTCTCCAAAGCACCAGAGGGAAGGACAAGAAACCACGGATGGAAACTAATCAAGGAGAGAAACAACCTGGAATTAAGGAGGAATTTCCTAACAGTGAGGACAATTAACCAGTGGAACAACCTGCCTCCAGAAGTGATGAATGCTCCAACACTGGAAGTTTTTAAGAAGAGACTGGACAGCCATTTGTCCGAAATGGTGTAGGGTTTCCTGCCTGAGCAGGGGGTTGGACTAGATGACCTCCAAGGTCTCTTCCAACTCTGTTACTCTGTTGAGCAAGGAAGTTAAGCAGGATCAGTCCTGCTCACCAAAGAATGGGAGTCCTTCTGCAACTCCAGGGATGTAAAGTAGGCTGAGGAATAACAGAAGCCTCTAGGCCAGGAGTAGGCAACCTTGGCTCTTTTATGACTTGTGGACTTCAACTCCCAGAATTCCTGGCTGGCTGGGGCAGGGTTAGGCAACCTTGGCTCTTTTATGACCCGTGGACTTCAACTCCCAGAATTCCTGAGCCAGCCATGCTGACGGGAAAGCGAGAGGTTTCCAAGCTAAGCCATGCTGGCTCAGGAATTCTGGGAGTTGAAGTCCACCAGTCATAAAAGAGCCAAGGTTGCCTACCCCTGGACTGGGCCAAGATGAGGGCCTTCATCTGGGTTCCTACAAACGAGCAAAACAACCTTGCTGCCTGCCCATGAGTCAAATCCTGACTTCATCCCGTGGCCCAGTTCTCAACCACCATGAAGGTCCCACCAATTGTCCAACCCTTCTTCGCCATAACGCCCTACGTGAACCTGGTCTTCCTGGAAGAATCCTGGGTGGCCTGATGTTTTTGTCCTGTTTTCCCTCCCTCCAACCCAGCCCTCCTTGACCCACGTGAGGAAGTCAATAACATCTCCTGGCCCCGGCCCCATGGGTGGAGGCCTGGCCACGCTCCGGTGGCTGCCCCTTGCTCTGGTGAAGGCAGTGACCGAATCTCAACCTCTGCTTGGCTTGGGGGCAACTTCAAATTCCAAGGGCAAAGGAGATTGCCCCCTGCCTGCCCCCCACCCCCCAGGATGCCAGGGGAGCACTTCTCCTTCTAGTAAAAGTCAGACATTAATGGTTTGCTCAGGTGCCCACACTGGAGAGGAGTTTGGCCCCGGCGGGTTAACGGATGACTTATTGTCCCGTTAAGACCGGCTTCTCTTGCATAAAACCAAGCGTTATAAACCCTGGAGAAGCAGCCAGGCAGACAGATAGTCCTAAGACTGCTGCCTTTCTCTGCCTCTCCTCTCCCCCAACTGCAAGGATGAAGGTGGTTGGCCCGGTAAGTGACACACACACATACACACACACACTCAATCCCAGCCGAGCAATGTCTCTGGTGAAGGAGAAGTCACAGTAAGAGGAAAGGAAGGATCCTGCTTGGGTAATAAGAGGTTGCATTCATACAACATGCTGGACCACACCGCTTGCTAAACTTACAGAAGGTAGAATGACAGAGTTGGAAGGGGTCTTGGAGGTCTTCTAGTCCAACCCCCTGCTCAGGCAAGAAACCCTATACCATTTCAGACAAATGGCTGTCCAGTCTCTTCTTAAAAACTTCCAGTGTTGGAGCATTTGCAACTTCTGGAGGCAGGTTGTTCCACCGGTTAATTGTTCTCACTGTCAGGAAGTTTCTCCTTAGTTCCAGGTTGCTTCTCTCCTTGATTAGTTTCCACCCGTTGCTTCTTGTCCTGCCTTCAGGTGCTTTGGAGAATAGCTTGACTCCCTCTTCTTTGGGGCAGCCCCTGAGATGTTGGAAGACTGCTATCATGTCCCTCCTCGTCCTTCTCTTCATTAAACTAGACATCCCCAATTCCTGCAACTGTTCCTTATACGTTTTAGCCTCCAGTCCCCTGATCATCTTTGTTGCTCTTCTCTGTACTCTTTCTAGAGTCTCAATGTTTTTTTTTACTTCGTGGCAGCGTTCCAAGTGTGGCCTTACCAAGGCATTGTAAAGTGGTATTAACACTTCACGTGATCTTGATTCTATCCCTCTGTTAATGCAGCCTAACACTGTGTTGGCTTTTTTGGAAGCTGCAGCACACGGCTGGCTCAGATTTAAGTGGCAATCACTTCACCAGATCTTAATGTTATCCTTCTGTTGATTCAACCTGTTTAGTTTTATTGGGGCTTAGGTTTTTGATGACATTGAGTGTTGTGCGAATCAAAGGTGTTTGCTTACAATTTACCCTATTGTGCCATCCCAGAAGATGGGTTGAATTTGCAACCAGTTTAAGCATTTTATTCAAGTGGTAAGAAGCAGAAAATAGTCCGATGGGCTTCAAAAACTGGTCTGTTCTATCCAAACAGCCAAACAGCCATGGCTGGCAGAGGAATTCTGGGAGTTGAAGTCCACACGTCTTAAAAATTGCCAGATTTGGAGACCCCCTATTCTAGGCAAAGTGAAATGGCCACACATCCCGACATTCCCTTCAACATTTATTGGCATGAGAGTTAAGATGTGCAGGACCCAAATTTTAAACATTTAGACGGTCTGCTGATCTCTTTGGTCTGAAGGATACAGGACAGCACAGTGAGAAACATAAAACATCACCAGAGCTCAGATTTGTGTCCAGTCTAAAGTTGCAGGATTCAATCTGGGTCAGTCACCGGGACCAGAGGTTAAGTCTTCCGAGCTTTCGGACTCATGTGGACCCCTTTTCAAGGAACTTCTCTCTAGCAGGGTGTGTGTGCCAGTCTCAAGTGCCATGTAAAAACTTTTCTGCCCAGTGTGGCTGGCAAACTGTCTCCATCCCAACCTATCCCCTGTATCTTGTTCTCAAATGTTGTTCTGTATCTTGTATCATGTCCTCAAAAACAGTAACTGGGAGAGGGACCCTGGAGTCCTGGTGGACAGTCACTTAAACATGAGCCAGCAGTGTGCAGCCGCCGCCAAAATATCTAATACAATCCTCGGTATAGAATCAAAATCAGGTGAAATATTAGTGCCTTAGTAAGGCCACACCTGGAATAAAGCATCCAGTTTTGGTCACTACATTACAAAAAAAAGATGTTGAGACTTTGGAAAAAGTGCAGAGAAGAGCAACTAGGATGAGTAAAGGCCTGGGGGCTAAAATATATGAAGAAGAATGGCTGCAGGATTTGGGTATGGCTAGTCTAGAGAAAAGAAGAACTAGGGATGACGTGATAGAAGTCCTACAATATTTGAGGGGCTGCCACAAAGAAAAGGGGGGGTCAACCTGTTCTCCAAAGTACCTAAAGCAGGACAAGAAGCAACGGAGGGAATCTAATCAGGAAGAGAAGCAACCTAGAACTAGAGAGAAATGTCCTGACAGTATGGACAATTAACCAGTGGAACAGCTTGCCTCCAGAAATTCTGGGTGCTCCATCACTGGAGGTTTTTAAGAAGAGACTGAACAGACCACTTACCTGAAATGGTGTAGAGTCTCCTGCTTGAGCAGGGGGCTGGACTAGAAGACCTCCAAGGTCCCTTCCAGCTCTGTTCAGATTGATATTGATTGATACTATATTATATAGCAAAACAAGGATGTGCTGAACCAGTTAACCTTTCCTGGACCCTCTTTCCTCAGGCATGTCATTCTTCAGAGACTCCGCAGGCTGACAATCATCCGGAGAACCCAAACTCCAAAGAAAACTTCAGGAATTTCAAGGTCAGTGAAATTCAACATCGGAGGAACGATGCCTCTATTTTGTCCCACCGTTCCAGAGGATCAAGGTGGGAAAATGCACCAGTTTTCCAGGAAAGCCATTCCTGCTGGGCAGGAGATTGGGATTAAAAATATGAATATATTTCAAAACCACTTCATAAGTTAGAGGCAATAGTGCAAAAGTGTCTAATTTCTGTCCTGGGAGGGACCACCAGGAGTTGGGGCAGAGGCAACGGAGGCTGGAGAGAGATATGCAACAGGATCCCCACTTAGTTAGAACAAGTGAGAAGGCCACAGCACCTAAGTTAAAAAAATGTTCTTGTCTATTTCATCTTACAGCTAGTGAGATGGGGTCCTTGGTGGTGTTTGAGCTTGGTTGGAGGAGGAGGAGGAGGAGGAGAAGGGGGAGAAGGAGAAGGAGGAGGAGAAGGAGAAGGAGGAAGAGGAGAAGGAGGAGGAGGAGGAAGAGGAGGAGGAGGAGGAGAGAAGGAGGAGGAGGAGAGAAGAGAAGGAGGAGGAGGAGGAGGAGGAGGAGGAGGAGGAGGAGGAGGAGGAGGAGGAGGAGGAGGAGGAGGAGGAGGAGGAGGAGGAGGAGGAGAACTGCAGGGTCCTTGGTGCTCTCTGAGTTTGGTGGTTTTCTCGCAGACATTTCATGACCCAACTAGGTCTCATCATCAATGCTAGAAGGCAGTGGAGTTTGCTCTCTTAATATGCACAAATGGCTTGCCCTGTCAATATTGGTAGAAATCTTTGTGATGATCCCTGTTATTTACTGAGCTGGTAATTCCCTGATTGGGTTATTGTTTACCACTGTTTAATCTCTGATTATCTGGGTGTGGATTGCCAGTCAGGAGGTGTTGCGGTCATTTAGCTTTGCGATCGCCTCTTTTGAATGGGTTGTACAGTAGCTGTTGTTTATCTCTGTGCGCCTGTTGATGGCCGATTTGTCTGAGAGCCTGAGGCTTCCAGGAATTCTCTAGCGCTTTTGGACTTGACTTGGTCAACACCTAGTCTGGGAATTGAAGTCCACCCATCTTAAAAGTGGCCAAGTTTGAAAAACGCTGCCATGGATTAATCATTGTCACTCACGGCAGTATTTCCAAACTGTCATTTCAGGACGGGGCACTGATTGACCGCGTGCATCACACATACCTGCTTATGCACACCAACCAGACGGTGGAATTTGTGCAGAAGAAGGTGGGTTGACCCAGGCAGACCCTCCTCTAGGGAGGGTCTCTTGGGCACCAAGCACGGCTCAACAACATCCAGGTGATATCAGCAACAAGCCAGGCCCCTCTCCAGTTTTGGGGGGCTGTATGGATATCCCAAGGATTGCCAGCAAGAGACCCATCAAAGTCTGTCCCCCCTCAAAAAAAAAAAACAGAGAGAGATGGTCACGTGATCAAGGTCACGTGATCAAAATTCAGACACTTGGCAACTGGCTCCTATTTATGACGGTTGAAGCATCCCGGGTCACGTGATCCCCTTTAGTGACCTCCTGACTTGCAAAGTCAATGGGGGAAGCTGGATTCGCTTAGTGACCATGTTAGCAACGTAACAGCTGCAGTGATTCACATTATCCATGTTACCTACTCAACCACTGTATCAAGAAAGGTCATAAAATGTGGCCAAATCCACTTAACGAATGTCTCAGCCAAAGAAATGGCTGAGGTGTGGACCTAGTTCCCTCAAGTTTGAAGAGGGCATCATACCTGTAGCCCAGGGGTCCCCAACCCCTGGTCCATGGACCGGAACTGGGCTGCCGCATGCCAGCAACTGGTCCGCACAAACAAGCAAAGCCCCATCCGCGGGATGTAGGCAGCACACAAACCCATGCACTCTCCGGTCTGTGGGAAAAACCTCCCTCCACGGAACCGGTCCCTGGTGCCCCAAAGGTTGGGGGCCTCTGCTCTAGTCCATAATAGTGTCTCCTCATAGTTCCCTCATCTTTAGAACGAGCAATACGGTGGCTGCAACCTCCGTCAGATGACCCTCATGGAGGCCTTGGAGCTGCTGGACAATGTGGTGGACGAATCGGACCCCGATGTGGATTTTCCCAACTCCTTCCACGCCTACCAGACAGCAGAGGGCATTCGGGAGAAGCATCCTGAGAAAGGTGAACCCCTTGATTAGACCTGGAGTCCCTAGGAGGACAAGAGGGGCCCCCACCACCACTTCCAGCTGGATGCAGAAAATGGCAATTCTAAGAGGCTGTTTGATGTCCCTGCAGAAATTAGAAGGATCAGGTTATTTGGGTGTCTGGTCATGTCTAGTTTCCAACTCCTAGAGATGATGGAGTCCACCATCCATAATTCCCCATTCTGTCATGGGAGAAGGTGCTCTGGGACCATCCCAGTGTGTCTTCAACACATGGAGACCTCAAGCAGAGCAGGATGTTCTCCAGGGAGCCATCAGCACTCATTGTGGTCACCAGGAGAGGAGAAGGCTCAGCTGGACCTTTCTGCATGCGAGCCCCTTCCTCCTCACCCTCCAGATGTTCCTGGGTCCTGCTCTGATCCTGGCATCAAAGGTTCCATGAGGCACTGGATCTAAGCTGATGGCCCAATTGAGGTCAGACGGACCCGACACAAGGGACAAAAACAGATTTTCGCTCTCTCTGGTCCCATCTTAGATTGGTTCCACCTGGTTGGACTGCTCCATGACTTGGGGAAGATTTTAGCTCTGGCTGGTGAACCACAGGTGAGATGAAGAGGGGCATGGAAGGGGCCAACATTCCCAAGCTCTGCCCCTTAATACCCAGTGTTTACTTTTAGGGGCAGAAAAATGAGAGTTATGCTCATGGATGGGTGAAGAACCTAAAGTCCTAGCATCTCTAATCAATACACATCAAGGAATCACTAAATCAAGAAATCTCCAAACTTGGCAACTTTAAGACTTGTGGACTTCAACTCCCAGAATTAACTGGCTGAGGAATTCTGGGAGTTGAAGTCCACAAGTCTTAAAGTTGCCAAGTTTGGAGACCTCTGCGCTAAACGGAATGGCGTGTTTAATTGTACGCTTGCCAACGCCGAGGGCAGAAGAAAGGGTTTGGTCCAAAGAGTGACACTATCAAATAAAGAGGAACTGAGGTGTTATGGGGTGTTTTTCTTGGTTGTTCCTACAGTGGGCTGTGGTGGGAGACACCTTCCCAGTGGGTTGCAAGCTGCAGGACTCGATCGTTTTCAAGGACACCACGTTCCATGACAACCCGGACACAAGGAATCCTGCGTACACGTAAGCTCTTGCTTGGTCTTGCTTTGTGGCAGAGGAGACCACCCTTGGATGGATGTAGAGAGCTACAAGGTAGGGTATGTGGAGCTATGATCAGCAGCAGTCTGGATCCTTGTCTCCCTAGTCGTCCTTCCACTGTTGCCTCTCCATCTCTGATAGAAGAACTTATTTGCAATAGAGGTGAATATCTGTAGCTCGGGTGTAGGATGAGGGTGAAGCTTTGTTCTCCGAACTTGTGGGTTGGTTTCTGAACATTTCATTACCAGGCTAGGTAACATCTTCAGCAGAGTTTGGGGAATGTCGGTGTCAGTGTTCTTCTGTTTATAAGGGCCTCAGGCATGGGTGCGTCAAGTGAGGGTCTTGTGATGGGTCAGGTGGGAGTCATCAGTGAGAGGCTGGTGATGGGTCTAGTGATGGGGAGGTTACATCAGGTCAGGGTCATTGGGAGGTGAACTGCTGGTAGTGGGGGATTGCGCGGGATGGTTGAGAGTCAGTGCTGTCTCTGGCTGGCTGTGCTGTTGATTTGGATTCTGAGGGGTTAGTAGGCTGGTTGTAGGTCGATGTGTCTGTTGATGGAATTGCTTGTGGAGTGCCAGGCTTCCATGAACTCATGAGCGTGGTGAATAGTAGCGTGGCTGATGATTTTAGTGTTGCTCAGCAGATAAGAAGAACTTACTTGCTGAGGGACCTGTAATCTGGTTCCATCACATTTGCTCTGAAACCAGAGGCATGAAGGAAGGATGGCAACCGTTGGCATTTATCTAAGGCTTGACCAATGCCTGATGTGCCACTTGCAGGTGGTCCTCCAGATTCTTGTCACCTTCTTCAAAATGCCAATGGAAACACTGTTTCTTCTCAATTCTTCTCTCTTGCTAAAACTTCCAGACCAGAGAATTTGAGATCAGATGTTCTCCTTTTTTACCTCCTCAGGACCAAGTATGGGATTTACCAACCCCACTGTGGCTTGGAAAATGTCCTGATGTCCTGGGGTCATGATGGTAAGTGCTCTCCACCGCACTTCTCAAAACACACACACACACACACACACACACACACACACACACACACAACCCCTAAGTGAAAGCGAAAATAAATCCTTGTTTGTCTATGGAGATTCTCAATCATCCAACTTCGGTGGTCCCAAAGTTGTGGGTGTTCCATCACTGGAGATATTCAGAAAGAAACTAGACAACCATTTATCTGAGATGGTATAGGGTCTCCTGCTTGAGCAGGGGGCTGGACTAGAAGACCTCCAAGGACCCTTCCAACTTGGTTATTCTGTATAGGCTACAAAGTAGTAGAAGGATGAATGAGCAGTGAAGGAAGCAATTGAAGTAAGATTGTAACTTCTGCCTTCTCTAATTGGATGCTCTGGATCAGGAACCAGCGTTTGGAGAACACATGGTCTTCACCCACCTTCTCCAGTCCAAAGTCCATCAATAGTTGGCTCCCTCAGTGTCTAGAAGAACTTCAGTTGTTCAGAAGCTTCTTGGATGAGACGGGAAACGTTTAGAAAGAAAAAAAAATAACTCCCAGGAAGTCCAGTTGCCTTTTGGAAAAGCACCTTTGGGGTATCTGAAGGCCAAGATCTCAGATCTTAGAGCAAGAGGAGACGGGAATTCCACCTTCTTCAAAGGGGACAGTGCTGTAAAATGCCACAAATATCCAAGATGGGACTTGAGGTCCCTGCTTTGAGGAGTCCAACTAAACCAGGGGTAGGCAACCTTGGCTCTTTTATGACTCGTGGACTTCAACTCCTAGAACTCCTAGAATTCTGGGAGTTGAAGTCTCCTCATGCCACAAAATCAGAGGAATTCTGGGAGTTGAAGTCCGACTTACCCAGAGGTCACATTGTCTGGGCTGGATACAATTTGAAATTTTGCAACTAACTCTCCACCATTTCTTTTTTTCTCTCTACCTGCTCCAGAGTACATGTACCAAGTGATGAGAAAAAATAAATTTGCCCTTCCAGAGGAGGTAAGAGAGTGAGAAGAGCAAGCTACTTCCTTGTTCTCCTTGGGGTGGATGTGGGGGGACAAACCCCCCCAGTTTCTCTTCTCTGATGGA